AAAGCATAATACCGGTACCTTCCAACTTTTCTAAACTTAACTTCTGCATTGGCATATCATTTTCTGTCCAAACAGTATTGATTTTTTTTCCTCAACAGATTTGCAAACTTGTACAAGTCGCCATCTCGACAGCAAATGACAGTTGGGTTTCAAATCACGGTAGAGTATACCTCCTTTTCTTAACAGATATTGAGTTTTTTTCAGCCGCATTTCCCAACTAACTACACAAGAAAAAAGCATGCATTGTGGAGAGTTGAACATTTTGATTGTAAAACTTAATATTCCTCTCTCTATACATAATAATTCTCCCTTACTTTGAGGGAGATAGCCATGTTGAGATCTTGGTAACTATTTTTTATGTACCATGCTCTTCTTTTGTGTTTTATAGGCTGATGGAGTACGTGACTGTTTTACTAACTACAAAGAACACAAACATTGTGAAAGCAAACATAGTCCGCAGGCTCAGGCAAACCATCAAAGTTCAGCTCATGATATTCAAGTGACAGGAACGACAAACTCAATTGTACGGAAAAGACGATTTGAGGAACTCACTTGAACAGAATCCAAGATAAGCAGTACTGCTGAGGAGTGATAAAGAACTTTCTGGGCTTTTCACTTTTTACAACCTTTAAGCCATTGTGGAAGAGTGTTCAGGGCTAAACTATGCCCGCTCTATCCAGTTTCTTGTTGCCCACTGCATTACTTGCCAAAAATTTTGAACAAACAAAGTGTCTGAAAATAAAACTGTCTGAAAATTTTAAGCGTCCCAAAATATTTACTTTAGCAATATGTTTCATCACCGTGTCCAAATTTTGTCCAAATTAGATAAATAGAGTGTCTGAAAAGTAAAGGTCTGAAATAAAATGCCCGAAATTTAAAAATCTGAATTTTTTGCAAGTAATGTAAAATACAGTTGAATAAGCTGGGTGATAAAGCAAGACACTTTTTTAGCTCGAGAGTTGGAATACTAGGCAAACAATTTAAAGTCCTTTGAAATAGTACAAACAATGTTGCGACTGAGGATCAGCAAGGAATTTTCTGTGTTGACATATTGTAAGCCATTTAGCCTCATGATAGCGAGGGTGAGCCTGTTTTTCAAGGCAGATGATATTCATATCTAAGTTGATTTGGATTTTATTGGAATCATTGGCTGGGCCAGCCTTGCAATACATGAGTAGTCATGTGCTGAATAAAGATATATTTTATGACTATTCTTTTACACTTTGCCACTGAAAAACTAGGAAATTTTCAGTAACTGAAAATTTCCTAGTTTTTCAGTGGCAAAGTGTAAAAGAATAACTGTTGTTGCCACATGTTGTTCCAAGTAAACTGAATGTTGACAGCCCTCTATTGTCTCGTATTTTTATTTGATCTTTGAACCTGCAGATATAATCGCGAGAGAGCTGTATGCCAGCGCAAAACCCCCGCTTCCCCTCCCTGCCCCCACCTTGTGTTCTTCACTCAAGGCGACGTGTGTTAAAGGAGTACAACGTGCAACCCGGCCCTCTCAGTGAGCATGATACTGTATAAGTTAAAAAGAATATTATTTTCATAGCAGCGTAAACATTTCTTTGGGTCTGTTGCTTGCTAAATGTCTTGGCCGAGCTACAGTTTAAATCCACGGATTTTCGTAAAATAAAAGCATTCAACCATACCTTGGGGTTTAATTGCATACAGTTTGAAACAACATGGAGAGGAAAGTATTACCAGGAGGCACTTCCTATAGCAGACTATACCAAGAGGCCTCACCCGAAAGGGGTATCATTTTCAAGCTGGGGCTACATAAAAGGGTAGGGACTTCACATGGTGAGGTCTAGAAAAGAGTATGTAAAACTTTGCCTAGTTCCTAGGCCACAATATTTTGCCGTGGTCAATCGTTTTGGGTCACGTGGTTTGGGGCGAAAAGTGTGGCCTAGCATGATATCATTGGCTTGGAAAATTTCCTATTGTCTTTCAGCCAATCATAATCCCGAATTAAGATGTATAGTCTGCACAGGTGTTACACTTTTTGCACTGGTGTTACACTTGAACTGCACCGCTCTCAGCCAATCAGAATCAAG